GGCGGGAGAGTGGGAGGGCCGGGGATGGCGAGTGCCGCGAGTCCCTGAGGTCCCGCCCTGAACCCCACTCACCTTTGAAAGGACCCCCCTTGATGGTGAGGGCGACCTTTCCTTCCTGGTTTAGGTAGCCAAACCATTCCCCGTACTCAGGATCTCGAAACTGGAATGACAATGAGACAGTGACAGCTAGCGCCCGCAGCCTGGGCTAGGAGTGCTCCCTGTTCGCACTGCACCGCTCCCAAGGGCCACGGCCAGGATGACGGATGACGACAGCTAACGGACTCCAGGATCAGTGCACTTAATTAGGCTGTAGCTGTGTGACCGATGGAGGAAAGGCTTGCAGGCTGTGCAGTGCGAGGTGGAATATAGACCCCTGCTCTGGGACGATGGGAACCTTAGTAACTTGATCGTGCTGGCGGCTGTTACATTGTCATAATTCTTTGAGCCGAATGCTTACCATGGGTACATTTGGGCTACACAAGTGGTACCTAGATACATTTTATTTAAAAGAAGGAAACTAGGTACTGCTGAAGGCACCAGGGCCCGTTTGAACTCTGTAACAAGTGACTCCCCTGGAGCGGTCCCGGCTTCCACGGGCCTGCCTTCCAACAATCAGATCTGACTCCTGTCCTTGCTTCCCTCCGTCTGCCCCTGCCCAGGGCCCAGCTGCTTCCCATATGGGGCAGGAAGACAGCAGCCGGACTGACCCATTCCACGCCCCTCTCTCTCCTCCCTGCACCCCATCAGGCACCTATCTCATGGAGCCTTGACAGTTCCTTCCTTCCAGACTCCCCAGGGTGTACTGCACGTACCAGCCCAGACTTCTTTCCTCACCCGCTAGTTAAGTGGAATCCTTTCTTACAAGGACATGGAGGCAATCTATTACACTGATGTCTACTGTCGAAGCAAATGTCTCCTTAGATCGCACAATAGAAGGATTATGTACCGTGTGTGTATAACTATGGGTTATTCTTCGTGTATGTGGGGAGGAAACTAGTCTGCAGTCATTCTATTTTTTTGAATACTGTTGGTGCCCTTAAGTGATGTTTTGGCTATTTGGTCTGACACAGGAGGATAAGCATTTGTGTTTCCCATGTTAGGGGCTGGATGGTGGCACAGCAGCAAAATGCAACACACACAGATGCGTGCAGGAAGGTGCCAGTTCTTGTCCAGGGACCTCTTTTCAGTACAATGGGCATAGGGTGCTGGTGACTGGCAGCTGGAGGTGGACATGGCACCAGATCCTGTTGGGCCGCCATCTCTCTGGCTCCAGGAGGAAATACATACACTTTAATAGATTTTTTAAAAAACGCTCCATGTTGCCTTTCTGTTCAGTTTTTCCTTGCAAGTCTCAATGTTTGCTTTTTCTACTCCGTTCTATTGGTTGTTTTATGTCATCTCTATCTCGCTAAAGTAAGTTCCTTCCATTATCATTCTCTAGACCCCACACTGGTAGCCTCTAACACGTGCTCTTTCCAAACGCACTCGGCACGGAGGCACGGTACAGCTGGTGATTGCCCTCTCGGAGTGCTGAGGCGCATGCGCGGCACAGCTGGGCCTCACGGTGGGAGCGAGCACACATCTCAGGGAGAGTGCAGCATGGAGAGCCGTCATGCCCCAGGTTTCACAGCCCACTGGCCCCAGAGACATCCCCTGCGGTGGCCCGGCCAGGACATGGCTTCCTGATGGTGAGCCGAGGCTCAAGACACGCCGAGGATTGCTGTCTGCTCACCACACGGAGTGGCCATGCTGAGTGCCCTGCCCCGGGCATAGCACCCCAAGGTGCCCCTGGGCTGCTAGTGCTTGGGTCTCCGGGGGACCCTAGGCTTGGTTTCCCTGACACTTTATGACTTGTGGGGGCCTTTGGTTTCCTCTTGCCTCATGGTGCTCAGTGGCATCCATGTCTTTTGACACCCACAACGTCTGTAGCCAGCCCAAACCTCTCACACGAAGTGGAGGCTCACAAGTCCAGCTGCCGCTCCCCTGCCCAGGCAGACGTGACTGTTTGGATGACAGCTCCCACCCCTCTGCTTTCCCAGGGCCTGGGAGCAGTGAACTCAGACCTGCTGTCTCTTTGGCCTGTAAGGCTTCACCCCTGCCCTCACTTCTGGGCTAACCAGGCTTCTCCCCTGAGCTCTGCCTAGGCTGAGCCCTGCCTAGACCCTCCACTCAGACACCCCTGCCCTGCTCTGTGGTTGGAAGAGCCCCCAGCCCCCCTTACTTTGCCTTCTACTTGGTCAGTCTGCTCCCCACACTGTGGCCTGAACTGCCAGGATGCCTCAGACCAGCTAAGGGGGAGGAGGACCAGCTGTACCAGGGACAGCCTCCTGCCCCAGCAGGCTGGACTGTCCCACCCATGTGGGCCCAGGCTCCTCCCACGCTCCCAGGAAAGCCTCCAGAGGGGACAAGAAGACAGCGCTCACCTGGCGGAAAGTGTACTCGGCCACCTGGTAGAAGAGGTGCAGCAAGGCAGGGTCCCCACTGTCACTGTAGCCCATGAGAAAGGCGATCATGGCTTCGCTGTGTGGCCACCAGAGCTTCATGGCCCACTCCAGCTGAGGGCACAGAGGGGGCAGGTGGCTGAGCCTGGGCCCCCATAGCACTCCACTCACCCATTCTCCTGGTCCGGGCTTAGTCCCAAGCACTGAAAGCTTAACTGTGGGACATCTCGGGGGGACCTGACCTGGATGTACCCCAGGGGTTCCTACTGAAAGGACAAGAGTGGGACAAGGGGGTTGGATGGTGGCAAGGCTGACCCACATAGGGATGCTGGGGTGCGTCGCAGGTGAGGACCCTGGTGGGGATGCCCATCTCTTGGTCTCTGTCCTCCCTCCTACCGCTTTCTCAAGGGCTCATGGAATAAAAGAAGAAACTTAAGAAACAGGAGTGGGCCAGCTCCCCTTTGGCGCCTGCACTGGAGCCCTGCCTCTGCTGTCTGCCTCTGAGACCTTCACGTGCCGCATGGCCCAGACGGCGCCCTGCAGCACTCTGGCTGTATCAGGGCACAGTAGTGGGCTCCAAGGCTTTCAAAGACATCTGGTCCCCGGAGAAAGGGCAGGTGTGCGCGCGCTCCCCTCCTTCGTGGCCTCCAGATGGCATCGGGTTGAGAACCACTGCCCACCTGGGTGGGGCAAAGCTCATCAACATCCTGGAAGTAGAAAAGGCCTCCGTGATCGGGATCCCACCCGGAGCGGAAGGGCAGCAGTAAGAACTTGTCGATAACGTGGGCTCGGAGCTGGAGGTCGCCCTTCCGTGTGGCATGACGGAGCAGGAACCAGCCGGCTTCCAGAGCGTGGCCTGCAGAGGGGTGGCTGGTGAGGCTGGGGCAGAGCAGCCTCCCTAACAGCGGGAGCTGTCCCACCCTGACCCTGGCTGCTTGTGCTGGCACCCAGCCTTGGGAAGCCTGTCCCCGCTATTCTACGTGCTTCTGGAGTGCTCCCTGCATCTGGAGGCCAAACCCAAGGCTGGGTGCCCTCTTTCTCGTAGGGGGTCCACAGCCCACCCTGCCCCCTCACCTGGGTTCTGGTGCCTCCCCAGGCAACCAGAAAGTTCCTGGCCACTGTCTGACACATTCTCCAGCACAGCTTGTCCATCCCTCTGCAGGAACATGGAAGAAAGCAGCTCTAGTCCCGGGCCCCCCAGCAGTCACCACCTCGAAACCCTTCCTCCCTCCTCCCCTCCCTCCTCTTTCTGCCACCTGTCCAGCTTAGGACCTTCAGGTTTAGCGGGACATGAGAAGAGGGTTGGGGGGCCAGCAGGTGGCATAGTGGTTAAGGCAATGGACTCCCATGCGGTCAACTGCAGCTCGAGTCTTGGACTGGTGACTTGAAACTTACACCGGGTGTATGTGCGTGCATGCCCAAAATGCGGAGAGGAGAACAGAGAAGAGACTGTGGTGTGGCCATCCCCTCAGGGGGTGATTTCTCACTCTCTGTCTCCAGTAAGTGCATCCACTCTATAGCAAAAATCTCAGAGAGAGATTTCTCTCTCAAAAAAAAAAAAAAAAAAAAAAGAAAAGAAAAAGGAAGGACTGATTTCTTATTTTAGATCTTTGCTATAGGGCATGTGTGCTTGCTGGAGAGAGAGAAAAGGAATGAGAAGTCACCCCCCTGGGTGGACGGCGACACTGCATCCGTCCTCTATTCTCCTCTCAGGATTCTGGGCATATATTTCAAGCCTATGTGTCAGTCATGTGGGATCCAGTACCTTCACCACCACCCCACCTGCCGGCCCAGCCTAGGGGTTCCAATCTTTGCTTCAGGCCTGGGCCTCTTCACTGAATGGAGACAGAAGCTGGGAGGGACTTGGATCTGACCTGAGGGCCCTGCTGACAGGACAGGGACTAGGACTAGGCTGCGCCACCCTCCCTTCAGCCCCAGCCAGCTCTCTCCAGGTGAGGCGTGCATGGGACCCACCTTCCCAAGGGATCTAGGCCATGCCTCAGAGGCAGAGCCTCTCCTCAGAAAGGACAGGGTGGGTGTGGTGCAGGGGTGTGGCCCAGCTTGCCTCCCCCCAGGCGCCCCCACCTGGACATGCTGCAGAATTCTCTGGGCACACCAGTCGCCCAGCTCCTCATATTTGCTGGCCAGCTCGTCCTCGTTCTCCCCAAGCTGCTGTGCCAGGTAGAGTAGCATCATGGGCACTGCCATGGGCTCCGTGGCGGGGGCCCCGGGGAGCTGAGGCCGGCCCAGACCTTCTGGGTCCTCCCGCACCCAGTGGACGATCTGATCCATCATCTCCACCGCTTCGCTCTGGGGGTAGAGAGGCCCAGGCTGAGGCCACAGCCTGTCCCATGAGTCTTCTCCCTCAGGCACCTCAGGGCCCCAGGGCCACCATCCCGAGGGCTTACCCAGAGCCAGCCTGAGGGTCTGTGCAGATCTCCCCCCCTGCCCTGGGGGCCCATGCCCCCCCTCCCGTGCAGGCCCCTCCCAGTCAGCAGGTTGAAGTCTGGCAGCACAGGGGCCCAGGGTAGAGGGAGAGGCCCTTCCCATCTAGGGCGGGGTGTGGCAAGGCCCTCTTTGCCCAGAGCCCCTGTGGGGGACTAGGGGTGGGGGGGAGGGGAGACCCCTGGAGACCCTGATGACCACACAGTGCCACGAGGGGGGGAGGGAGGCTGGCAGCCTCAGGACTGAGTGAGGAGCACACACCTGGTACCGCGCTTCCCCTGTCACCCTCCACAGCTCGTTCATGGCCATGGTGTAGAAACACTCGCTGAAGATGGTCCGCTGCACCTTGACCGGGCGGCCATCCCTCGTCAGCACAAAGGCACACTTCTTGCCAGGAGGTGCCACCCGGGCATAACGCAGCAGAAACTCACCACCTGGTGGTTGGGAAGTTGGCTCAGGTGATCCCCCTCCCCTGCTGACTCACAAGGGGGCCCTGCTGGGTGTAGACATGGGTGGTGGGGGATGACAGGGGCACCTGCTTTTGCCGTGTCCAGAAGCTCAGAGTGGTGGAAGCGCTCAAACTTGCGGTACAGGTGGCAATACATCCACACCTGTGGGGGACCAGGACGGAACATGGCCTGGGGGGGCAGCTGCGGGAGGGGCAGCCCTAGGTGTTCCTAATGTCTTGTGTGTGGGCTGAGGCAGGGCAGGCCACATCAACTCTGGCCCCTGGCCCTTAGCGTGGCCCAGCTGCACCAGTGAGCCACGAGGCTGGAATATTCCTACCTGTCTCCCCTGCAGCCAGACGTACTTGAGGTCATCGTACACCTGGCCATCACGGCCAAGGCACGTGAAGAAGCCCCTGTGGGAGGCGCAGGGTCAGCAAAGATGGGAAAGGGCCTTGCACCCACCCAGTGGTCTCCTGCCCCTTTGGGCTCCGAGGGGCAAGGACCCTGCTGAGGATAGGGCAGGGCGCAACACACCCGTGCTCCCGGTCGTGGGAGTGCTCCATCCAGAAGGCCACCACGCGGTCCAGCTCCTGCTCCACACGCTCCTTCCAGGCCTGCAGAGGCTCCCGCTCCTTCTCCATGTCCTGGGGAAACTCACAGCTTGAAGGGGCAGTTCCCAGCTCTTCAGCCCCAGCCCTCTGGGATTCCCCACCCCACCTCTGCGCAGGGCTCCTCATCCCAGCAGCCCCTGGCACCCTCCAGGACAGCACCCCGCACCAGCCCCACCACTGGCCTTGCGCTCTTGGAGACCCCCGCTCATCCCTCCCTCTCTTCCAGGAAACCGGACGGAGTTTGGTCCCAGTCTCGTGATCTGCACTCAGCTGACCAAGTCGAGCCCCACCCACC